AAACAAAGAAACACAGTGAGTCAAGCGAAGTGAACAGAGGAGTATGTTCCAAAGTAAAGAACAGGATAAAACCTCAGAAAAAGGCCTTCAAGAAATGGAGGTAAGGGCCTCCCCTGGTGGTGCAGGCGGTTGAACGCTGCACTGTGAAGCTGTCCGCAGCCTCTGCAGCGCTGGTTCTATCCCGGCCGGCTGGCGAGGGTCCCACATGGTGCAGCAGACCTCTCCTGTCTTGCCCGCTGCTCCCCTCAGCAGTGTATTTCTTCAGTCTGCCTGTTCTGTTCCCCGCTGTCTCTGGTGAGTCCTCTCCCCCTCCCGCGCATCTGGCCTGTACCCCGGTTCCCGTATAAATAAATAAATCTTTAAAAAAAAAATGGAGGTTAAGTACTTTACTTGATAAAGTATTAAAAGTGATGGCCATAACGATGCTTAAATTCAGAAGATGAATGGATGAACCAAGTGAGAATTGCAACAAGGAAATATAAGAAAGTACCAGATAGCAGTCACACAGTTGGAGGATACAACAGCTGCAGTGACACACACAACAGCAGGCTGGACTGGTGAACATCAATGGTGGAGCAGAAGTATAGACAGGCAAGCTCAGAGGCAGGGCAGAGCAGTTCACCCAGACAGGCAACAACGAACCGATGATTCTAAGAAATTGAAGATTAGCTGAAGAGGCCTACTGGACAATATTCAGCCAAATAATTGTCACACTATAGGGGTGCCAGGGACGAGAGCAAGAAGTGGAACAAAACTTGACTGAAGAAATAATGACTGAAAACTTCCCCAGTCTGGGCGAGGAAACATCCCCAGGAGCACACAGAGTCCAAATGAGATGAAATCAAAGAGATCTGCACCACAGCATATAATCCAAATGTCAAAAATTGAAGATAAAGAATCTTAAAAGCATTAAGAGAAAAATAGTATGTTACATACAAGGTAACCTCCATAAGATAATCACTTCATTTTTCATTAGAAATTTGGTAGCCCAGATGGCAAGTGGCATGATACATTAACATACTGAAAGGAAAAAAATTCAAGAATATTCTACCCAGTAAGGTTATCATAAGAATTTAAGGAGTGCTTTCCAGACAAGCAGAAGCTTAAGGAATTCATCAACACTAAACTGTCTTTATTAAAAAAAAAAAAAAAAAAAACATTAAAGGGTCTTCTTTAAGCTGAAATGAAATGTCACTAAGTGGAAATTAGAAAAACAGATGAAAGAAAAAAATCTCACTGGTAAAGGCACAAAGGTTAATAGACAAAAGTAATAATACTAAATAAAACTCATCAATTAGTTAAGGGATAGTCTCACACAAAAAGGATGTAAAATATGGCATCAAAAATATAAATCCAATAAGCAGATATAACATTTATAAATATTTATGTACCCAACATAGGAACACTTAACTATATAAAGCAAATATTAACAGATCTAAAGGGAGAAATTGACAGCAATACAGTAATAGTAGAGGATTTTATTACCCCACCTTTATCCATGGACAGATCATCCAGATGGAAAATCAATAAGGAAACATCAGTCTTAAAACAAAACATTAAACCAGATGGGCTTAATACAAAACAATTCACCCAAAAGCATTAGAATAGACAGTCTTAAGTGCTCATGGAATATTATCTAGAGTAGACCACATATTAAGTAAGCCACAAAACAAATTGGTAGAGAGAATGAAATAACAAAGATCCAAATGGGAATAAACAAAAGAGACCTAAAAGACAATCCAAAAGATCATTGAAATGAAGGCCCAGTTCTTGAAAAAGATAAAGTTGACAAATCTTTACCTAGATTTACCAAGAAAAAAAGAATTAGGACACAAGTAAATAAAATCAGAAGTGAAAGAGGAGAAATAATCGATACAACAGAAACACAAAGGATCCTGAGGTCTGTGAATAATTACACAGCAACAAATTAGACTACCTAGAAAAAAAATGAATAAATTCCTAGAAGCCTGCAATCTTCCAGACTGAATCAGGAAGAAACAGGATATCTAAATAGGCCAATAACTCATCAAAAACCTACCCTGAGGGCAACCCTGGTAGCCGAGGGGTTATGTCTCAGAGCTATCACTGCCATGGCTTAAGTTCGATCCCCTGCCAGGGAGCTACCCACATATGGCACAGCAGACCTCTCCTGCCTCTCCCGCTGCTCCCCTCAGCAGTGTATTTCAGTAGATCTGTCTGTTCTGCTCCCCTCTCTGTCTCTGGTGAATCTTCTCACCCCGCATATTTCTGGCCTACACCCCAGTTTTCTATGCAAAAATAAAACTTCCCCCCGAAATAAAAGTTCAGGACCAGATGATTCACTAGAGAATTCTATGAAATATTCAAAGAAGATTTAATACTTAGACTTCTCAGATTCTTCCCAAAAATCAAAGATGAGGGAACACTTCCAAACTTGCTTTATGAAGCCAGCATCACCCTGATACCAAAGCTAGACAAGAACAGCACAAGAAAAGAAAATTACAGGCCAACATCCCCCATAAATATGATGCAAAAATTCTCAGTGAAGTATTAGCAAACCAAATTGAACAAGTCCACAGTTAATGTTGCACTCACTGGTGCAAAACTGAAGGCCTCCAAGATCAGGAACAAGACAAGGTGGACGCTCTCACCACTTTCATTCAACATACTACTTGAAGTCCTAGCCAGAGCAATTAGGCAAGAAAAAGTCATAAAAACCATCCAAGTTGGAGAGGAAGAAGTAAAGCTGTCACTGTTTGTAGATGCCAGGATTTTAGGAGGAAATCCTGAAGACTTACCCCACCAAACAAACAAACAAACAAACAAACAAACAAACAAAAAACTGTTAGAACTAATAAATCTGGTGAAGTTTCAGGATACAAAATAAATATACAAAAATTGGTTGCCTTTCTATACACCAAAGTAAACTACCAGAAAGAGCAATGAAGGAAACAATCCCATTCACAACTGCATCAAAAAAGAATAAACTTACCATGGATGAGAAAGGCCCGTACAATAAAAACAATAAGACATTGATGAAAGAAATGGAAGGTGACACAAATAAATGGAAAGATAGTCCATGCTCATGAACAGGAACCATCTCGCCTCCCTTGCTACAAAACCCTCTGCACCCCACTGCTCCCCTTCCCTCCCTCACTCCTGGAACACTGGGAGTGAGGTTGCGGGGTGAGCCTGTTAACATTTGGATTAAAAGAGGCCCCTCTTCTGCTCAGAACTGTCACTGTCTCCCATCTCGCTCATAGAGGAGCCCAGGGGTCCTGCCCACGACCCTGCCTGCTGCTCAGTGTCAGCCTGCCCGCCCCCCGCCCCCAGCCCAGCTGCACCACAGGCCTTCTCCCTGGCTCACCCTCCTCCCAGAAAGTTTCCTCCAGGGGGGCTTGAGTCTTGGTCCCTGACACCCAGGGCTTTACCCCCTTTTCTGGAAGCTTCTTTGGACCACCAAGTCTACCTGTGAGCTGTTCCTAGTCCTCCCCTCCACAGGAACATGCAGGCAGGGCCACACTCCCTACATGAGTGTTGTCTGTCACCTTGTCACCCTCTTTGGGTCCAGGACATTTATCTGTTTTATGCTCTTTGATCTTGCTATGTCCCAGCACTTAGATTATGTCCTAGCCTCTGACCCTTGATCTGAGACACTCAGGAGAGGATGGAGGGGGTGAGTAGAGAAAGTGGGGAGCAGAGAATGGTGGAGGGTAGTGGATGACTGTGGGCACTTTGGTGGTGGGAAAACTGTGGTGACTACATCTGAGGGGAGAAGTCCTATATTGTGAAAAAATTAACAGGTATTTTTAAAAAAGATTTATTAATTTATACAAGAACTGGGGTACAGGCCAGAGGTGTGTGTGGGGGATGAGAAGATTCACCAGAGCCCGAGCGGGGAACAGAACAGGCAGACTGACAAAAGACACTGCTGAGGGGAGCAGCAGGCGAGGCAGGAGAGGTCTGCATGCCATGTGGGAATCTCACTGGCCAGCCGGGAATCGAACCTGCGCTGCAGAGGCTGCGGACAGCTTCACAGCGCTACACTCAACCCACTGCGCCACCAGGGAGTCCCTTCCCCCCGCATCCCCCCCAAAATAAAAAAGATGTTTAAAAAATAAAATATAATTAAAAATAAAATGTCCTCGCTGAAGCCGGAACTCAACTCATGGTACCGACCGAGGGCACGGGGATGGCAGGGCTCTGGATTTGTTATTAAATCATTTTAGTCAACAAATTGTTGATGCATAAAACATGTCAGATGATCAAAATTAGGAGAGTGGCTCACAATTACCAAGTTTCAAAATGACCTTGACATCGGCTCCATCTTCGGCCAAAACCCCCAGATGGAAGTCAACAGTGAAGCTGTCAAGTCCTGAGTTTAGGTTTAGAAAAGAAATACACTGACTGGGAGGGTGACACCCGCCTCCCTGGAGGGCACTGTTTTAAATGACAGGAGCTCCTGAGGTGGCACAGGCCAGAGGTGGTGCAGGCATTCTCAGGTCCGGGTCGGAGTCACAGGTCCCGAGCCCCATCAGAGTCACCTGGGTATTCAGGGACAGTGTGGGCATCGTGTCGTCCTGGGGCACAGGCAAAGGATGGGGTGCTGAGTAAGAGAAAGCTGAGGGCCATGACACCCACAGTTTAAACCTTGTGAGCTGGTGCCGTACAAGAAGAAAGACACAAAGAAAGAAAACCACGGCAGCTGGGGCTGAGTTCAGAGCAGGAGAAATGAACAGAGAGGGGACTTGGTAAGGAGGCTACCCCCGCCGCTGCCCAGGGGTGGTGTGGGTGTGACGGGGTCTCCTGTGCTGAGATTTTGGGCACCTCTCCGCTTGGAGAGAACCGTGAGGGGGAGCTGTGGCCCACGTCCAGTTGTCCTTGAGGCCGCAGCTGCCAGCCTCATTGTCGCATGCACCTGGGGCCGCTTCATGGGGTGTGGGCATAGAGGGAGCTGGCACTCCAGATGCTGTGTGCGCCCTTGCTGGGGCACAGAAAGCCAGGGGAGCCTGGGCTGGCACCCCAGCCACGTTCTGGGCTGGTGGAGGGAGGTGTGGCATACCAGTGAGCCCCACAGTGAGCAGCTGTAGGGCTGACCGTGGCCAGAGCCCCCTGTGGATTCATCCAGGGGGGTGCTGAGGGGCCAGTGCCGAGAGGAATGACGCCAACGACAGGCACAGGAAGTCACGACTTTATTTCTCACAGGAAACCCACAGCATCGGCCTGACAGACATGGATTTAGGCGATGTTTTGGACACACACACATTGTATGTTTGCTCACTTAGGTTGCTCTGCAAAGTGAGGGAAAAGTCACATCCTGCCCACAAATTAATGCATATTCCAAACAGCAGCACTGACCTTCGGTCTTCCTCAGTTTTGAATGAAGCTCCAGGAGCCCTTCACAGACGGCCTAGGGAAGCCGCTGCTCTGCCAGACCTAGCACAGGCCCCAGCCTGCTCCGGCCAGGAGACCTGGACAGGGGAGTGGGTTCGCCACCCACCAGCCCTTGCAGGCCCAGAGTCCCAAAGGCAGAGGAGCTTTAAGTTCTCTGGTGAACTTGGGCTACACACAGCTGTGGCCAGAGTCACGCAGGTGTTGGCCCCCACCCTGGTGTTGGCTCCTGAGGTTGAGCCTGAGACTCACTCTCCTCTGGCTTTTCCAGGTGCTGGCGGTGGGGTGGTCTCGGAGCTCAGTGCTGGCGGGGAGACTCTGGCTGGCCCTCAGAGTGGACGCTGGCCCTCAGGTCACTGAAGGGAGTGTAGGCTGGGAGAGCCGGACTCGAGACCCGGAGGAGTGGTGCCTGGTCAATCCTCAGTTCCTGAGGCCAGAGAGGGCCTGGCCCCGGCCAGTGGCTGAGCTCCCGGATATCCTCTTCCCCAGGCTTCTCAAATCTCACCATCAGGCCCTGCCCCTCTGGGGAACGCTGATGGGCCGGATGACTCCATTGCCTGGGGCCGTTCTTGGAAGGGACGGGCTGTGGAAGCTGAGCTGGAGGATGTGCACTGAGGGTAACCCAGGAGCTCCGGGTACAAGCAGCCTGCCCCCTGCACCCAGGCCAGCGGAGCTGCACGGTGACCTCGACAAGCCAGTCCCGTCCACTCCAACGTTCGCTGTCCTGGGACACAGCCCCCGGGGGCTCACATGGCAGGAATGTTGTTTGGTGAGATGGAGTGTAACAGTCACCACGCCACAGTCCTGGATATCCATGGAAACAAGGGCCGGGGCCTGGGCCTGAGACACACGGCGACCTCTAGGCGGGACACAGCGCCCTCTGCCGGCTCTCGGCTCTCACAGATGGCATCGTCCTGCTGCCCAGCCACAGTCACAGCCAGTGGGGACAGGTGTGTGGGCCCTGCTGCCTCCTCCTTGCCTCCCCTCCTCTTGTCCCTCCCGTTCAGGCGCAGCTATAAATACGCAGGATGCAAATGGTAGATTCGCGAGACATTTATCATAAATTACAGGTGGATGATTGTGAGTCTTTAGGCCATGAGGCCTCTGGGGGAATCTTTAATTCTTTAAAAAGAAGAAGAAGAAACTAACCCGATGAGCTGGGAGGGTCCCTTCAGCCAGAGGATGTGCGGAGCAGGGGGCAGGGAGCACCCCCCTGAGTCTCATGAGTCGGTCCCGGGGGCAGTGAATGACCAGCCCAGGTTGAGTGACTCAGCCAGACAGGCCTCCCTCAGCCCCTCTGCTAGGCTGGAACATACTCTATGAGCATTATTACTTTAATAGCTTTTTAATAAGTAATTGAAAAAGGGCAGAACAGCGATTTTCGCGTGTGTGTCTGTGTGTGTGCACGAGAATATGTAAGCACCTCTGTGTACTCGCTCCCACCCTGCCATGTGGCAGGCAGACCCACACTTGTCAGCAGAAAGTCCTGCCTGAAGGGCTATGGTGGGGGAGTGGGCGGTCACCCCAGTAGCTCCCTTGTCTGCCTGGGTGGAGCCGCCTTCCAGCCAGTCTGATGGAAACCAGCTGGAGCACCACATCCTCTCTCCTCCCGGCAACCTCAGGCTGCAGCACGCGAGGCTGGCCTGCCCCCGTCTCCCCACCTTTCCCATTCATTCCCTTGCAAACCAGTGGGGCCTCGGAGTCAGGTGTAAGAGGGTCAGCTTGGAGGAGCAGAAACGCGGGCTTCCACGTGGGCCGGCAGGCTGCCTAAACTACTCACTTCCCTCTTCCGGAAGTTCTACAAAAAGCACTGAGCAAACACCAGGCACCAGGACAACTTCTAATTTAATATTATAATAATAAAAACCACAGTGGTCCAGAACCATGAGCTGCATTTTAAATTCCTAGGGCCATGAGAGAGCGCTGAGCTCCTGCTGCCGGAGGCGCTGTCAGGACGAGCAGCGGATGGATGGCTGCGGGCACAGTCGGATGGTGCCCGTGCCCGCCCGCGCCCACCCAGCGCCTCGCGGCTCCCAGGGCCCGGCCACCCGTGCGGAAGGCAGGATGAAGATGCTAACACCGAAAGCGAACACTAATGAGGAAAAGCTTCTGAAAGATGTGAACTTTAAATCTTGTTTCCTCTTTTGACACCTCCTTTGTCCAGAGGGAAGCTCTTCACACCGCACCATAGGGAGCGCGCCTTGTTTATTACCAAGTGCCCTGTCCACACGGGGCACCCGGCTTTTTAGCACAGATTGTACCTTTCTTTCCCTCCAGGGTTCCAGAAAGGATAAGTGATTACAATTTTGTCATCTTCTAAATTAAAAAAAAAAAAAGGTAAAGTTGACTCTGTCGGAGCAGTCTGCACAGCAGTTTGACAATTGGGGCGCCAGCATAACTACAGAGCAATTTTTTGCACAATTCAGAAACTCATCTTTTTTTTTTTTTTTTTTTTTGCCAAGGAATCAGTCTAACAAACACATCCCACTCTCGCTGAAAATAATTTCTTTTCCCAACTCTTCTAGGAATAAAACACTTTTAATGTATTTGTCAGGAATCGACACTTCATTTAATTTGATTAAAAAAGTGACAATTTAAAGAGCAGCTGAGAAGAGCCCCACATCCATCATGGGCTTGAGGCACCAAAGAAAATGTGGGGAAACATACACGTAGGGTGGCTGTGGGCCTGTGTGTGTCATATGTTACACCTGCTTCCGGTGCAAAGTGCCCACAGCAACCCTGTCTCCCCAGCTGGCATGCACGCACCCCATGTGTCATGCTCAGCGTACCCCAGTGGCCTTTTAGGGAGCTGCCAGAAAGTGACTGAAGGCTTTCTGCAAAAGCCCCAAGGAGTTTGTTCTTTTACTCTCTCAAATAAACCGGATCTAAAATGAAGGGCAGGGGGCCTGGCAGCATTTAATCTCCTGACCTGGGGGGTGGTTAGGAAGGTGTTCCACAATTAAAATCGAGAAGCACTACAGTAAAGGGCCACAGGCCACGTCTTACCTGATCTCTCCTCAAACCCGATGCCCCAGGTTGCATTTTCACAGGGGTAGGGAAGCTGGGGTTCCTCATTTGCCTCTACCCCTGTACCCCCATGGAAAGGCCAAGGGTCCTGCTTTACACCCCAGTGAAATCAACCTTCTTCACCTTCTGCTGACTGAGGCCTGCAAGGGCATCTGGGGATCCTTTCACTGCCTCCCTGTCTTATCCCCCCGCACTCCATTTAGCTCTGCTGGTCTCCAACTTTTTGGCCCTTCTGTTCCAGCTGGCCCCAGCAGAGCAGTCCCTCGCAGGCCCGCCAGGCCTGGGGCTTTTCCTTGGCTGCCCACTCATCATCCTCATTCCCTGGAGAGCTACAACTTGTGGGGAGTGTGTCTGGAGTGATGCACCCTGACAGGGGTCTCCTGCCCCTCCACAGACCCCTGCCTGCTCCCCAAATCAGAAAGCCAATCAAGAAGGTAGAGTCCCCTAACGTGGTGCACAGTGGGCAGACCAGACCAGGCTCTGCAGCTGCATCCATGTCTGTCGGGGTCCAAACACACTTCCATCCAAGCAAGGCCTCCTGACAGGACAGCTGGCAGCTGCAGAGGCTGGGGTGGGGTGGAGGGGGGAAGCCTGCCCTCAGCTGTCACTGCTGAGTGTGTTGTTTGCCCTGCCCCATCTGCCCCGCCTTCCCTTTACCTGGTAATAAGGGGCATCTGAAGTGTGAGCAGAAAAGGGGGTGTGGGGGGGGTGGGCTGGAAGGTACAAACACTAAAAGAAATTCACAGATGGGGAGGGAGGGTGGAGGGCATGGATGCAGGTAGGGTGCCCAGGCTGCTTGTTTGTGCCTCATCAGGTGTGTGAAGGTGCTAAACCAGGGTTGGGTCAGCTCTTCCAGGTGTTTTGCCAGCTCACCCGCCCTTCCCCAGGTCAGCAGAGCAGCCTGGGCAAGGGAGTTTAGTGTTTGAAAAGAAGCCCTCGAATCCAAGGAACTTCCAAAACACTGCGCTGCATCCTTGCTCTGACTCAGCTGGCTCATCTGTCCCCCACGGACAGCGAGGGCACTGCTGAGGGAGCTGCTGAGTGGATGGGAATTCTCAGTACTAATTGGCGACCGGGAGCAGGATGCTGACGGAGGGTGGCCACCCGCCTCGATGAGGCCGCCCTGCCATTTGTTACAGGAGTCTTGCTCCCATCAGGAAATGTCAGCACCCCTCAGGGGTTCTGCTCACCCCACACAATGGGGAAGTGGACAGATCAGAGAGCTGAGCATGTAGGGAGATTGCTCCTTCCAGAACTGTGTTCAGCAGAAGGACAATCTTCCCCTTAAATGCTGCAGTTTGATGCCGCCCTGCCATCCCCATACTGACACATCGCTCAAGGCTGAGCTAAACTGGGAGAGCACAGTTATTGATCCCCCAGCTCTTCCCACGCCCACAAGCAATGTCTGTGAGACACCCGAAAGGAAGCTCCCCGGAAGGCCAAGCCTGCAGCCGCGCCGGGGATGGAAGGGCCACCAAGACGCCCGCCTGGGGCCAGCCTGCAACAGCAGCCGGAGGGCCACTCTGGAGGGAAGCTAAACCCGACCGTCACCTGGTCCAGCCACAGCGGGTGCTCAGCATTGGCGTGGAAATGACGGCGCAAGAGACACCACAGAGCCAGATGGAGCCACAGCAGTCAGATGAAATCTCTTTGATGGGGATTAGGAGAAAAGCTTCTTAAACCGCTTTTTCCCAGTCCCATTGAGGAGCGTGGTCTGGGGGCGCAATACGACCACCGAACTGCAACACGGTGCTGCCTCCCCCCCCCATGTCTGGTGTCCAGCGCCCCCTGCAGCGCCCGAGACACCCCGCAACTCCCAGAGCTGGGAGGATCCGCACCACCTGCCCGCACCCCGAAAGCGCGGGTAGCACAGTAACTATTTCCTGTCAGCCTCCCGAGCTTAAAGGCTGGGTAGGTGTCAGGAATGACAGGTTCATAACTGCGAGTCGAGGGATGACTAGCTTCGCGTCCGCGGACTGATTTGCTCATCGTGTATTTGCCTGACCTTCCTCGAGGGGCCTCCTGGGCAGCCGGGGCGCCCGGGGCTGCGGTGCGCCCCTCACCGCGCGAGCCCCGCTCACCCCGCGCGCAGCCCATCCAAGCCGGGCAAGGAAAGTTACAGCGTCTAAAGGGATTCAAACAAGGGACCTGCTGTTCGAGCACTTCAAACAGCTCAGGGACACCTGTGATTCAGCGAATGGAGGATAACTAAAGAAATACAAACCATTAGTCGCCAGGGCAATGCGCTGCGTGGACGTGACCACCACGCAACCCATTTCCTGCGGGGCCTTGGGGTGACAGAGGCCGAACCCCACTCCCTCCAGCCGGTGCTCCTGCGCCGGCTGCGCACCCCGCCCGGGCCTGCTGCTCCCCCGCCCGGCTGAGATTAGAGAGGTAGGGTGTCACGGTGGGCTTGATGAAGATTGAAGACCCGTTTTCTCCCCCTGGAGACCAGCCTGATTTGAACAAATTGAGGAGAACAAAGCAGCCCCTTTCCGTCCTTGGGAGAAAACCTGCGCTGTGTCCATTTTTTTGCGCCAGGTCTGCTCCCTGGAAGCGGGGAGGGCACGCGGCCCCCTCGGGCAGGACACCTCTTGCCACACCGGGCCGCACCCGAGTCACCGCACCTCTGCCTCCTTTATTGGTGCTGCAGGCTGGGGGAGCGGGAGCGGGAGGCGGGGCTGGGGGGCAGGGCGCTGCCGCTGGGGGCCTGCAGGGCATGGGGGTCGAGCTGCTGACTTGCCGGACTGGGGTCCCCTGGCCCCACTTCCTCGCCGGTGTCCTCCTTCTGGCTGCTCTGCTGCTCCGGACACTCAAAGTGGACGCAGTGGAACACCTGGAGAGGGAAGACGGTCCGTGAGCCGCAGGGCAGCACCCCACCAGCCCCACCCGGCCCGCCCCGCTGGGGGGCTGCGAGGGAACAGGAGGAGAGGTGCGAGGGAGGCCTCGGGGGCCACAGCTGAAGGCGGCCGAGGCCTGTGAACACGGGTCAGCCCGTCAGGACAAAGAACAGTGAGCAGCATCCGAGAGTGACGGCGGCTCCCGCGGCCTCCTGTGACTGCTCCCAGGGGCTGCCTCCCTGTTTGGCCACCTTCGTCTCACGGGCTTTTTTTCTTTTTGATTAATCAATTCCGGTATTTGGCGTGGGGTTAACAGTTAACAGGGACTGTGGTGATGGATGCACAACTCTGAATACACTAAAAACCACTGACTTGTTTACTGTAAGTGGATGAATTGTACACCATGTGAACTATATTTTGAGAGAGTTGTATTAAACCAAAGTCAGGGGGGCATTACCCAGGGGAGCACCCAGACCTGTCTCCAAGGGCCCTAACCGCCCCGCACCCCCACCCATGCTCTGCTGTTCCCTCAGGAAGGGCACAAACTCCCGATGCCGGCTGCGCTGCAGTGCTGGGGGCTGGACCACCACCTGCCTGGGTGCACGCGGACTGCAGGCCAACCACGGGCCAACCTGGAACAAATGCCCTGTGCCGGGCAGCCAGCCACACCCAGGAAAAGCCGGCGCGGGCCAGTGAATCACCCGGGACCATCCCTGAGCTCCTGGCACATCAAGGTGAGTTCTGGCCCTGACCATGAGGAGATACAGCAGGAGGTGGGGTCTGGGCGGGGGAGGCGTTGCAGTGGGCCTGACACACTGGGTACCAAACAGCAGGTCACTGCTGCCCTGTGAGCCGGGGACAGGGAGATGGGCAGTCAGAGAGCATGGAGTCTCCAGTGCACACTCAGGAATTTCTTCCCCCACCCTTTGGCTCTGGTTCTCTGGGGCCTCGGCTCTCTGAAGGGGAGGAATCACATCCTCCGCAGCGATGGTTGCCAGTCTGGGAACCAAGGCACATGCTGGCAGTTTTAAGGGAATCAATTTCCAGATCCTCAAATTCTGTATTTTCTAAAACTGCCTGAGGACGTGACTGAATTCACAAGACCCTTCCCTGAGCGGAGGGAAGTGCGGCTCCCCCGCCCTTGCTGCGTGGGCTGCATGTGCTGCACTGGACGCGGGGACCACCTCGCTGGGAAGACGCACCCTTCCAGGGTCCCCAGCCTGATGCCTCCTGGCTCCCTGAGTGGGTTGTTCTGAATTCAGAACTGAAGGGTATTCATAATGCATGCAATTTTAAAAAATGTAAATGGGACTTTCCCAGGATTAAAAAATATTTTCAAGATACATAGGCTAACACCCCTGGGCAAAAGTTTCCTCACAATTACTTTCCGATTTGGTTGCCTTATTCAATGAGTTGGTGAAAATCAATTTTTATCAAATCATGTCATTAAAGTCATTAAATATTTACAATAACAGCCTAGTGTGTCCAATGAGAAGATCTGAGCCCCACAGAAGAGGGTGAGGGAGGGGCCTGGGGACCTGGAGGAGGGGAAGCGGGAGGCCTTGGAGGACACTGCATGCTGTCCTTGTGCTGTAAGTACTGACTGGGCCTCCTGTCCTCAGGGCTGGGCGTGGGCATCAGACCCAACGACAAAGATCCTGGCCGCAGCAGTGTGCACGCAGGTAACGCACTTCCCAATCTCGGGGGAGGCCCATCCGGCAGTGAGAGGCAGGAGGTCTGGAGATGGAGGTCACTGCAGGGAGGGCCATGAGTTTGGGGCGAAGGCCCTTGTTATTGATGAGACCTTGAGCAGAAGACTGCAGAGATCACGAGGATGCACTCTGGTATATGAGGTATTTAAAGAGAAGAATATTCCTTGGTTACTTATGTGAGGTCTCAGACTTGAGGCTGAGAGGCGTGAGGAACCTGGCCACAATGGATATTCTGCAGAGGGGCAGAGGCTGAGGCTGAGGGTGGTAGGAGGGAGAGATGGAGGCCTCAGCTGGACTGAGCATGACAGTCCCAGAGTCTTAGAGGAACTGGTGTGCTGGGCCAGTGATGTGACAGGAACTAAGGTGGGGAGTCAACGGCCACCAGTGACAGGGCTGGGAACCAGAGCACAGATCAGGTACGAAAACCACGGCGTCCTGGATAAACAGCTGATAGGGTCTGGACTCTCCAAATGTGCTGCCTTATCCCAAGGCTTTCTCCCTTAGGCCTCCAAGCTTCTTCTTAGTAGCAAAGTGCCCTCGATTTGTAATACTATCGTTGAACTTGAGTGCAGATGCTGAGGCTAAATTGTACACGTGTGATGGTTTGTAATGACGAGCTAGGGAAGAACAAGAGGAATTCTGGGTCTGTGTGGACAGCCGACAGGCCCTCTCCTGGCCACTTAGCACACCCAGGAGAAATGCACCCTGTGCTCCCTTAGGTAGGGGCCCACCCTTTCCTTCCCCGGGGCCTGCTGGCTGCAGAGAGGTTAATGAACTTTGCACATGCCCATGTCTGCAGAGTCCAATCCTGGGTAAAGGATCTGTGGACTGTAAGAGCACCGGGGTGGCAGGATGCAGGCAGGGCTCCTGGACTCCTGCTGCTCTCCCTGAGGGAGGGCTTGATGTTGAAGACTCAGGAAGTGCAGCTGCAGCAGGGAAATGAAGGGACCAGAGGCCGCCTGCTTCCTCCTGGGAGCCCTGTGTGTTCTCCACAGTGTGGATACCTACCCCCTGTGCACACACGTGTGCATGTACACACAAGCACTTGTGCACACAAGCCCTTCTCCTGAAAAATTTAGCCTCAGCATCTGCACTCAAGTTCAACGATAGTATTACAAATCGAGGGACCTTTGCTATTAAGAAGAAGCTTGGAGGCCTAAGAGAGAAAGCCTTGGGATAAGGCAGCACATTTGGAGAGTCCAGACCCTATCAGCTGTTTATCCAGGACGCCGTGGTTTTCGTACCTGATCTGTGCTCTGGTTCCCAGCCCTGTCACTGGTGGCCGTTGACTCCCCACCTTAGTTCCTGTCACATCACTGGCCCAGCACACCAGTTCCTCTAAGACTCTGGGACTGTCATGCTCAGTCCAGCTGAGGCCTCCATCTCTCCCTCCTACCACCCTCAGCCTCAGAGGAGGCAAATGTCATAGCAGCTGTGGAATTATACTTAAAATGTACGCTCTGTGCTTTCTTTCCTGCATCATGTTGTTTCTATATTCCTACTCCAACTCATTTACTTACCACTGTTTCAGATTTCACACTCCCTCTCATACTAAGACTGAGACCATGTCTTTTCTCGCCTCTTCATTTCGGCAGAGATTGTTTTCTCTCAGCAGATCTCTCTCCTCAAAGCCTGGGACTGGGGCATTCCCCCTGGCCCCGTTGTGTCCTGGCTGCATCTGCCCCTGGGCCAGCCTTCCCTGCCCCTTCCTCCTTTCCTCTGACAGCCCGCGGCTCCCTCTTTGGGCCTGTCTGTAGGCGCTCACCCATCAGCGGTGAGATGGGTGGGCTTTTTGTGAAGATTTTCAAACTACTTCAGCCTGAGCTCCACAAGGTAAATCTGAAAATCTTCTAAGTGGCAAATATTAATGTACTCTTCTCCGTACGTTTCATATTCCTTAAGCTTCTGAGGTGACAGGACTCTTTCTGGCAGGTTATTGATTTAGTCTCTTGGCTTTATAAACATCCCACTTTCCAGGCAGGAGGTGGAGCTCTTGGCGGCCGAGGTCAGGGTGGACTAGGCGGTCAGGCTCTTCGGCTAAGTGGCAGGGTGATGCCCCCAGAACACACCTCCCACCGCCTCTCATTCACGCCTCTCCCTGAAGCCCCAGTAAGCCGATACTGAGTCCCGTTCTCCTTCTGACCCAGAGTCAGATCTGGTCCCCACACCAGGACTCCACCCTCTCTGGAGGGGGCTATACTGAACACACTGCCCTCATGGCACCTCCCCTTCCTGACCAGGGGCTCTCATCCTGCTCCCCCATGTCCCTTCACGGGTTAGACGTGTAATCTCCGCGGGCCTGTTCCCTGTCAGTATCTTGGGAGGCTATTCCTCAGAGCTTCAGAATGATACTAATCCCTTAATCGACTTACATTTGTCCTGCCTCTCCTATTGCTTTGCAAGTGTCTCTTCAGCCTCTTAACTTTCAGATAAGCTCTCCCCAAAAGGCCTTGACAGGCTTCACGGTGCCATCCCCCACCATGCCAAGGCCCAGCCCCCTCGATCCTGCCTGGGAGCTCATCTGTCCGTTCCCATCTGTCTCAGGACCAAGGTGTGATCGTCCTGTCTCCACTCAGGGCCCGGCTCAAGAATTAAGCATGTCCATAAAGACCTAGGACTAAAAAATAAAGTTACAAAGGCGCTCTCTGTGGCGGGGCGCTTACAGCTGGCTCTTCAGAACGAGCCTCTCCCCTAAGAAAGGGTTCTGTTCTCGTTTTCTGATCCTTTTGTAGTTTTTGTTTTTTAAACTTCGCAGACCTCTGAGAGCACAAGCAATGACCAGGTCATTTACCACAAAATCCCTGCAGGGAAGCGGGGGCAAGGTGCTCTTCTTGCCTCATGTGGTATGTGTGTTTACTCTTCTGCAAAAGGAAGATATGTTCCAGGTCACACCCGTGCAGGTGGGATTCTAACTCAGGGCCAACCAATTGCAAAGCCAGGACACTTTTTTTTCAGGATGCCTGACTGGTGTAAACATTAAAAGCACTGATCAGTAATATGACAGGTATATGAGAAATGAATTTTGCCAGGCAGGGAGCAATGGGGAAGGTCAGTGGGAGGTGTGCATACGCAGGCCTTGAAGAGCTGGGATGCAGGCAGGGTGGGGAATGGCCGTCAGGCACAGGGGACAGTGGAGGCCTTCAGATAAAGGCCTGGGCCCTGGTGCCCTGCCTCATTCCTGGCAGCCTGCCCCTACTCAGTTTGGCCACCAGACAAGATGTTCCACTCTCCCCTCTGCAGTATGCTGGCTCCATCATCTCAGGTGGTAATCCAGCCCACCAGCC